TTGTTTTTTATCCATGAGTGGTACATGTTAATGTAATAATATAGTTTATTTATGTATATAATCATATATGAGATGTACTGAGGAGCTTATTTATCTGTACAATCATGTATACAAACATAATAACTGGTTTATTGACCCATATAGTCAGTAAAGATATAATATTTAGTTTAGACAAAACAGTACATTTGTGTAATACTATATCTGTGGGCGGGAAGGAGAGCGGGTCGTCCACTAGCCAGAGGGTTGATGTTCGATCCCCGGCTCCTCCAGAAAGCTTGGAGAACTTTTCTTGGGCAAGAAACTGAACCCCAAATTGCCACTGACAGCTGTACTCTAAAGCACTTTAAGTGGTACATAAGGCTAGAAAAGTGCTATATAAATACAGTCCTTTTACTTTTATCATCAACCCTAATCGGTAATAACTAATTTATTTATCTGTATAATTGCATATAAAAATTTAATAACTAATTTATTTCTCTGTATGATTGCATATACAAATTTAATAACTGGTTTATTTATCTGTACAGTCATTGAGATGTAATAACTGTTTAATTTCTTTATAGCTGTTTTAAAAACATGTAAAAACTGATTGATTTATTTGTAGGATCAATATATGAAAATGGGAGAGCTAGTTTATATCTGTATAGCTGGTACATTAATGCATACTATCTAGTTAAATTATCTGTATAAACCATGCATAGAGATGTAATAACTCATTTATCTGTATTATCAGTATATACAGACTAAATAACTTGATGTTTATCAGTATAATCAGTACAAAAACATGACATGACTGCATAATCAAAGTCTGAAGAAGAAATAACTGCTTGATTATTTTGCAGTAAACAAAGACTTAAGTGTGTAAGGACTGCTTCTTGTGCTTCTATTTAAAAAAATGTGATTACACGATTAAAAATATAGTGGGGGGTTTTCTTGTTTATCAATTTATTTGAAATTACCTAAAAATGTAAGCATTCTTGAGTTGAAGTTTCTAAGACTGAATATAACAAGAACTTTGTCCGTCTGCTATACTACCCAAAGTGTCCAGTACGTTGGAGCACCATGCATCAGTCCATTGCCTCCTGATAATTTGAATTGTTAGCATTAAATAAATCCTTCAAGGGGCTGCTGACAAGCCAATTTCATCTCTGCTGACTTGGCCTGCAAATAAAACAGAGCCAAAATCATTAGGTTGCTGTTCAGCCGTACATGTATAGAGCACAGTGCTGGTAGGCTGAACAGCAACCTAATGATTTTTCATACTGAAAAAACTTGAAACCTGACTATCAACTGTGGTTTCATTTAACAATTGTTTTCCACTCAAAATAGTGTATTTTCCTTGTCCACAGTTGACTATTAAGTATCATCTAGTCATCAAGTTGCACAATTCCCCCACAGAAACTCCTGTGACCAAACATTCTCTTGGTACGCCAGGCATGGCGCCGGTATGAGATGGTGTTTAAAATTCCCCAGCTCACTGCCAACCCCAACTTTTCCAGGAATTTTGGTGTTGAGCTCTGAGACGAATTTACGAGCATATTGTTTTCACTCTGTTTTGGTGGTGGCTACATTGTCCAAAAGGTACAATTAATAAATCAGACCTAAAAACAGACCTGGTCAACTCTGAGGCATTGGTGCGATATCTAACACTAAACTGCAAATAATCAACCTTTTCACTGCAGATGCGAATCACACACAACCAATCCTGACCAGCCAGATTCTCCATTTTAGAGATCCCTTATTTTCCCTGAAAAGGAAATAAGCTTCACCATTCTACATGCAAGTCCCCGCTGGGCCTGTGAGCCATACCTGACTCATGGGTTCATAGCTCTCCCACATCATGACAGATCAGGAACATTTGCTCGGAGAGCTGTTCCCCAACTCATGTTTAGGAGCTCATAGGCCCACATCTTTGGTTCTTGCCTGGATGTGCTTCAGACGGAGCTGTGAAGCACAACAGAGTGGAAACACACGATAATGGAACAAACAATTGTTGCTAGGCTTTATTATCCCCTTGTTGAGAGTCAGGGAGAAGGAAATGAGCCGCGAGCTGACACTTACCATATGCAAAGCAACAATCAAACACAAACTGTCTCTCCCACTCACACGCATCCACATGCACACACACACAAACGCGACACACACATACATGCTCACACAGCCAAAACTGTCTAGTCCAGAACTCTAGTGTTGCAGTTGTGGTGTACACGGCACATCTAGGTAAGATTAACAGCAGACAATGAATCTATATTTCCTGTAGATATTTCCTGATTAAAATGTAATTATACATTTCACTAGAAAATGCTTTAGCTGCTCAAGGTAGATATACCACTGTTTTGGATATACCCTTCCTTCATAATTATCATCGAAAAATAAAATCAAGACAGAATTGATACAATTAGATAAATGCGTGGTCCTCTATGCATTTCACCACCTTGCAGCATGAACACGGTACATATAGTGTTTGAGCTGAGCTTATGTCTGTGACTGTCTGTATGTTATCAGTTAGATCCACTTTCTTTAAACAGCAATGTGCCTGGTTTGAAATTATACCTTTGGAAGGAAACAGATGCAAAAAAATAGATAAGAGGAGCTGAATACAGGAGCTAAGGAAGCAATGTGGGGTAGCATGGAAAAAATGATGTACAGGGAGATTCCTGTGGAACACCTAGATGCTGCTGCTATTCCTGTCCAGGAGAGAGAGGACACAAGTCTCTGATTGAGGAACTATAGACTGGTGCAGGGCTGTCTGGAGGTGGTTAAAGGCTCAGGACAGCCTGCCACAGCAGACCAACTGGAATATATCACCTTCACTTGTTTACTGTGAACATCCCTGACCAGAACAGGTATTACGCTTTGATCCTAAATATGTTAAGAGCATGGTGTGAAGGGGGTGGACATATTTGGAGAACATAAATTCAAAATTAATAAATGTGTATTTATATATGAATTGAAATAAATAAATTGAATTCAGATAGACAACAAATAGCTTTTTCAGTAAAACATATATTTAATTACTCAATAATAACTGCACTAATTCTGCCTTTTCTCTTTGACTTCCATGTACTTATAAATTCCTGGTCTAGTTTGGTTGTGAAACCTTGCTAATCCTCTATATAAGGTAAAAGAGCTGTCTGTGGCTGTCACTGAATTTGTTTCCCTCGATGTGAGCGATGGCAAACAGTTTTGAAGGAGGGGAGACCAGAGAGAGGAAACGGGAGATATATTCATATGCTGGTTTATGGGGTTTCCAGGGAGCAAACACGCTTCTATTTCTGTATCTCTTTCACCTCTTTCTCTGAGCATCCGCCACAGAGAATCCTCTAACATCCTGACACAGGCTCATAACACGCCTCCACAGTGACCACACCATAAGTTTAAGCACCCAAGATACAGAGGAAGAAGATAAAGGAGAGGTCACGCTGGTAGAGGTCTTCCTCTATTTGATCTCTCTCTCTCTCCTCATGCTCAGTCTTCACGCAACACCACATTCCTCCAGTGGCTCCTTCTTGTGCCCTTTCAAAAATGATAGATGATGGTCCTTTCATCTGTCTTTGAACTTGACTGCCATACTGTCTCCATTTACAGCTGTATGCATGCGACCATTGTGCTTAGAGAATATGAGTGGGAGTGTGTAGGGAAGAAGAAAGCAATGCCTCCTCACCTCTGGATCAGCTTCTTCAGCACCAGGGTAGTAGGGTCAAACAATTTGAAACAAATCCAACCAGTAAAATATGGATGCCAAACACAAGTCCAACATTGCGCTCAGTGTCTACTGTATTAGTGTGGAGGGCCACTGACCAATTTAGAGACATGATGTCAGCACCCTCAAGTCCCAAAGCTTCACACACAAGGAACATAACTTTTAAGTTGACAGCAAAGAGCAGGGCCGTAAATTGCAGAGATTCGTTTCAAAATGAGAGTAAAGTGCACATGAACATTTTCATGCATGTTAGAAATATCATCAACACACCCACTCGATGTGAATCCTCCAGATAATCTCTTGCTGTTCCTTCGTGTCGCCTCATTCGGACACTATCGAGAGTTTTTACTTGGGAGCCAGCAGGAGAAACTCTGGAGTAACTGACTCTGATTTTTGCACTCTCACATACCTCTGAATAATTTCAAGAGATTATCAGGAGTTGAGTGCAGGTCTGAAAGCAGCTTTAGTCACACTGGACCCGTACAACTCTGGTATTAACGGGTTAATGGACTCAGTTCATAGTGAAACTGTAGCAGGTCAGAGGACGTCAGCTGAGTAGTTCTCCTTCATTTGTGGATCAGGAAGCATTTGTGTTCACACTGCTAAAAAAATGTGGACACATGGCCGAAAACCACTTCTGAATGTGGTCTAGAGTGACGGGATCGCTATCCGATCTGAGTGCGTTCACACCTGTACTTAGAGCTTGTGATTCTAACGGAAAAGAAAGACATGCAACGAGACACATGGCTACTTAGAATGACTACTAAAAGAAACTAAATAACCCAGGAGAAGCAAAGCAACCTCGAGAGATGCCAACGGGCTTACAAAAAGAAACAAAAGCACTGCAAAGACACACAAACAGACAGCAAAAGGCATATGGATCTAAAAATATTGAAATACCCCTAATATGACATGAAAGATTATGAAAAGAAATGCTAAATATTTAATAAAAGAAAAAATGACGAAAAAGAAATACAACATTACTACAATTAAATGCAAAACAGCAACTAAGAGACACAAATTCTCTACATAACACTAAATTACCCTTTGCTCACCCAAAGACAGGGTTCACCCCTCCTAAATACATATTTTTCTGCATTGTAACGTCATACTAAGAAATGGATTCATTCACCCCACAGTCCCCTAAACACTTCTACCTTTACGATTAGTTGAAAATTCAGCAACATGCATCCAGAAGCCTTGTATAGGCCTAAAATAAATATTCTCTTTGCTCCGCTCAGAAAATGATTTTCTAAAACAACTTTCGCACATCATTCTCTCTCATTCTCAGTCTTACCATCAGAGCGGTGGATGCAGGTATGCTGGTTGTCACTGAGGAAGAAGCCTTCTGTGCACTGACACTCATAGCTCCCCATGGTGTTGACACACACTTGCTGACATCCACCATTGTTGTCCACACACTCGTCCACATCTAATTGGATAAAAAGACAAAGAGAAAAAAAACAACATTAAAGATGATTTCTCTTGACTACTGATCCAACCCAAATTTTGGAAACAGTATTATTGCAATCACAAAAGAAGGCTCGACACTATTTTGGTTAGTATAATATGTAACATATTTAATACACATCTCATTCAATCAGGTTATATATTTTATTGTGCTGGGTTTCTTTCTCATGTTTTCTAATTATACTACTATAATTATTGGTTGAATTGGACACTTAAATCTTTTTATTGAAACCCTTTACATGGTCAGTTAAAACATAAGGCTATTATTTTTAGCATCTCCATTTTTAGTTGATAGCCTTATTTGTAATTGAGATTATTGGAATCATCTGTGACACTTGGAAGACAACCTGTATCATGCTGTCTTTGCAGGACAGTAAACACCAAGTGATCTTTAAGTCAGATGAAACAAAAGTTACGCTTTTTCTAGAACATTGTTCAATAACGATATATATGAGACATGTATTGAAGTAAACTTTTATAAATAGGCTAACTTTGATTTTGGATAGATTACAAGAAGTGATTCAAGAAACATTAATTTCTTTTCATAGAAATAAGACATGACTTACAGAAAGCATATAAAGTTATAAATTGTGATTATATGTTTTATATGCACTCTCCAGTTTCTCCTCTCTAACCTCTAGATGCAGTACATATTTTCACTTGATTCATAACTGTGGGTCAGAAAGGTTGGTTGACCTTGGACCTCCAAGACACCAAAATCAAATCAGTTCGTCTTTGAGTTCAAGTGAACGTTTGTACCACATTTGAAGACATTCCCTCAAGCTCAATCATGTTAAATAAAAAACATATGCATACTTGTTGAGGCCACCTTGACCTTTGACCTTTGGCTACCAAAGAGAAGTCCAAGTTCAAGTGAATGTTTGTGCCAAATGAGAAAGAATTCCCTCAAGGTGTTCCGGGGATATCGCATTCACAAGGAGAAAATGTGTTTTGTGAGGTCACACTCCTGATAATGATTGTTTTGTTATTTGTTATAATCTGTCTTGAAAAAGACAGCTTGCTCTCAACAGCATTTCCTGTATAAATAAGTTTTAATAAATTAATAAATGAATGAATGCATAAACAAACAATTGAGAGTTTATATGCCAGGAAATGTCTGATAAGAGAGGGACAGGAATGTGAGGGTCACAGACACGCGCTCACACAACGGATGGCCCCGTTTGATCCCGATAAGTCCAGTACAGAGTTCCAGTTCACTTTAGCCCCTTCAATATGCCTATTTCAATGAATAGTCCACATGAATAAGACAAGAGTGTGGGTGTGTGTGTGTGTCGGCATGAGCAAGCAATTTTATCACAAACAAATCATTGAGAAGAGAAAGTCAATGTGGACGCCTGGCTCCTAACGTGGTCTGACGTGATCGGATCTGTATCCAATCTGAGTGCGTTCACACCTCAGCTGTCCACTTGAGATCGGATCACAAAAACCACATGTTGATTACCAGGTGTGAACGGGGTCATTGAGAAAGTGCTGCACGTCGATTCACTCTATGAATGTGTGTGCGAGTAGATGAATGTAAAACTGTAGTGGAAAGAACTTTGGGTGGTCATCAAGGCTAGAAAAGCTCTATATAAATACAGACCATTTAATAAACCCAAAGTATTTTTACACTTCTCACACCTTTGGTTCACTGCAACCATTAGATATTAATTAAGATTTGAATATGAGTGTTTTCTTATGAAATACTAACAATAGTATTGTCTTATGATGGCTGAAGACTGGTGTCTACATAGACTGTCTATTGTTTTGTATGCTGCTGTGCATACGTATTTTTGGTTCCGAATGTTTCTCTCTGTGGACAGTGTCTTACTTTGTAGCTCATTGAAACTGGAACTGCATTTCCTATTTCTTATAGGCCAAGCTAATTGACACTGGTGTCCTCCATTGTGGTTAATCTAGTGCTGTTTGTCAGCCTCATGTATTGCTGCATGAATATGAAATCCGTTCTTGCTTTGAGGAAGGTCTCTGACTGAAAGCTCATAAATTAAAAAGACATTTGCTATGATTTGGTGTGCAAATCCCTTTTTTCTCACACAATTCTCAGTTATTCACAACACTGATTTATTTGTGGTCATCTATTTGACAGCACACCAATCTATATAATATAACTGGATAAAAACAACATGTTTTGGTCTTTGAGGGCACAAATGATATACAAGCTAATTCACATGTAGAGCCTGGGAGTGTGATCTGATCACAGCGGTCACTGGAGACACATGTGGCGACACATTCCAATGCCACATGGGAACTGATGAACTTACAGCTGTCTACTTGTGATCAGATCAGCAGAAATACATGTTAACCCCAGGTCTGAACTGGGTCCTGACAGAGCAACAACTTGTAAACATTATGTGTGTTGTTTGAATTTTGAATCCAGTTTAGAAAAGGCGAACAGGGCGTTTTATTGTCCAAAACACACAGCAGCTGAGCAGGTACATAAATTAGATTTCAGAGGCTTTACTGTATGTTCCTCTTAGACTGATGTGTTACTGTTCTTTCCAGGTTACTGAAATAACTAAGCAAAGAAGTGTCACAATGGCAGGGCGAGAGTTGGGAGTATATAAATAAAGCATACTATTAGTCCTTGCCTCCTTTGTATTGTGGCTGTAGCTGTTCTTCCTGTCCACACTGATCCCTTCCTTACAAGAGACTAATACAAGACACCGTTGCAGAAGACTGCAATATTACATCGATGCAATAGAGTTTTCGTTAGCTGAAACTAGAGTTTAAAGTTTTTCATGCTTTTTTCTTATTTTCGCACCTCTCATCTACAGTTATTAACATTTCCTGATGGTGGTGAAATCTGGCTCATAATTCCGGGGTTTATATTCATAAAGTTGGTGAAGGTATTAACCAGGAATCCAGGAAATGCTTACATTTTACACCTTGCTGTGTCCGTTTCTTTCTTTAGCTGCTTTCAGACATGCACTGAACTCCTGAGTTCCTCAGTAGTTTCTCCGCAGGGGCTGCAAAAGTCTGAGTGAAAGAATCTGCAGACTTTATACACACTTTCTCTGACTGGCCCCTGTGGTAGAAAGTCTGGAGAAAGTCAGTCGATGTGAGGATGAACAGGAGATTCTTTGCAGTATTCAGAGAATACTTTACATCCTGTCTACGCCTGCTGCAGCTCCCCTCACCTGAATCCAGTATTTGTAGCTATTGTGAACACGACTGCTCAGAGAACCTTCCGCTGCCTTGTTCATGCGTTAAAGGCAAACTGCTGGAAAAGTCCGGACCCAATTCTCCGGAGTTCCTCCCTCGGAACGGCTTTTGTAATCATGCACCTTATCTTATAACACAAAGTATCTGTTACATGTTGGACCTCTTTGTGACACGCTGTGGTTACTCACTGCTTGCTGTGCAGCCACCTTGCGGATCTCACAGTGAAATGAAAAGGAAGTATCGGAAGGAAAATAAACTCATGCAATTGCACCAGACATTCACAGAGAGCACCAAGCGAGCGACACATTGAGCCCAGCTGTGTCCACGCCAAAACCAAATAAATAAAGTCAAAATCAAAAGGAAGAAAGGAACCGATGAGGACTGTTCTTTAATCAGACTACAATTAGGCAATCTTAAATCAATTTGTGCCTTAAGTTGTTGACACAGTGCATCTGGGAGTTGATGGAGTGACTTTGTGCACACTCACGCAAAGTGATTCTTTTTTTCAACAAAGTGTAATTTGTCATCCGAGCCTCTCAGAGAAGACCACAAGGTTCTGAGGTTTCTGAATATCATGCTTTGCGCCTATTAAATGCCGCAACATGTTTACTGTTTTTCCCAGAGCATGGACGAAAAATGAGAACTAAATTGAGTGTGAACTTTGACAGCGAAGCAACTTGTTTTCAAATTGATCTGTTGCACTGCAGCTGACTCTCCAACTGTACTAAACTTTAGAAACTGTAACCACTGTTGCTGTGAAACTAAGGGACCTAAACCCAGAGGGGGACAACAACAGATGTCTCCTGAAGATAGATGTGTGGCAGGGCTTGACATGGTACTGTATTCCCAGCTATGATAAATGAGTCAGAAGGGATTACCGCATGTTCTACATTTCTACAGGAAGACATCTGATTTTAATTTTCAGCATCTTTGAACTCATCGCTGCAGACTGAAGCCACAGCACTGACGTATGATGTTATGACAGTATGTCAAATGAGAGCTGAGTCGTTCTCTGACTGTGGACGTAGTAGGTACATACCCTGCCAGTACTCATTTCATGCATACGTGTGTCACTGGGATAAAGGAGGGAGTGTATGTGAGAGCAATGAGTCCTCAGCCAGTATAGCTCCCGCTGAACGAGACTTTTGAAAGTGAGACATAGTAACAAACACTGAGATCCTGGGTTGATGGGCGGTGAGAAGATAAAGGTCAGAGATTAGCTTAAGCAGCGGTTTGACTACAGGCTGTTCCGTTTATATGATTTACTATGTATCATAGGGTGCTATTTATCTCAACAGTTTGTGATTACAGTAACACAAAGCATGAGAGAGGCTGGTGATGGTACGCTATCTGTGAGTCAACACATAGGAACGCATTACCCAATCTGCAGTGTGCTATGTCTTCTCAAAGCGGGCTAAATATAGACTGGTCCTTCCAAACATGCATCATACCTGAAATACACCCACATTTTCAGGAACGCACCCTCCACTGACTGCCAGAGTTCTATCTGTCTTTTCTATTTATTTCAAAATATAACTTATCAACTTGTTTTTTTCTGAAATGATTCCAAAATAGTTATAACAGAAACAAGCAAGTAATAAGCATTCACTACATTATTTACAATTGAACTGAGTAAAATGAATCAAAGATGTTGAATTAAATTCCACCTTATAAAATCTATACTTTCATTCTAAAGTTTCACTATGAATAATGACAAAATCATGATGGTACACATATGCAAAGAAACATGATCAAAATGTCACCTATTATAGTAAAGGTAAAAAATAAAATCACATATAAAAGTGAACTCAAAGAAAGATAAGCCTGATAGAGGTGATGTTGCATCACTCCCAGGGCCTCCACAGAGGTTGCTGTTAACTTCAACCGATGAGTAAGGCCAGCCTCTTTGACACTGGCTCGCAATGCAGTGTTTGAGCTTTTATGAAATTGTTGAAACCAAGGTTCCATTAAAAAAAAAAAAAATGCCTAGTGTCACATCCAATTTTAAAAATATGCCATGCCTGCAGCAATGAGCTGTGAAAACTTCCAGTAAGGTCCACAACCCCAGGTCAGAGGAGGAGAAACTGTTTCTCAAAACCCAATCACCCAGCAATTCTCAGCAGCAGATGAGATGTGCCAAAACCAGCTTGGTCCACAGTTATGCAGTCTTTGTGCAGTTTGAAGTCTGAATGAAGACATTTTGGAAACCGATCGATCCGTGCGCCCATTGAAGCATAGGCAGGTAGAGGGCTGCGACAAAGACCCAGCTGGTGAGAAGACCCAAGGAAAACAGGATGGCTCACTGAAGGTCCTCTTGGTTGCATCACGGCAACAAGTCTGAGCCACAAAGTTCAGGCAACCAAGTTAGCATCAACATCACTTGTATGCATGTGTTCCTACTGTCACATTATGTATTATGTAAAAATCATGTAAATAACAACGCTAAGACAGGCCAGCTGTCTGATCTCTCCACACTGAAAAAGAAAGTGTTTGGACCATCCATATCTTTTAGATTGGAGGCAACAAGAATCAGCTTTTTTCTCCTGCAGCAGTTGACCTGTTGTGGGACCCGAGTCTCTATATCACTCCTCTTCAATGTTGTTAATGTTGGCTTCATCTGATGAATTTTTCAGTGGCTCCAAAGTAATCATTCATTCAAACGGAATTCAAATGTTTCATCCAGGAAATTATTTATTTCCTCTAAAGAGTGCTTGTCAAGCTGCCCTTGACTCCGCTTTCACTGTTATGAGATCAGATATTTGCACATATTATTAAACACATGTGCAAATGTGTGAGGGAAAATGTGTGTGTGTGTGTGTGTGAAAAAAGTCAAGTGTTAAGAGGCAGCAGTAGCAGGTAAACACACAGAGCAGTTTATCATCGCTGTGAGATCTGCTGTGGGTTTGAGACAGACTTGGTAGGTAAATGGTCTGTACTTAAATTCACCCATTCACGCACACATTCACACAGTGCTTCTACGTGCAGCGCTTTTTCTATCACTGGTACAGCTGTCAGGGGTTCTTAACAAGGACGCTCCAGGGATCAATCTGCAGACCTCCTGGTCAGAGGACGACCTGCTCTGCATCCTGACCTTCCCTAAATGGATAGTTCACTGTGCATTCGTGTGCATAGTAAGTGGGTGAAAGAGAGAGCGCTAGAGAGAGGTCTCAACTGGAGAAGAGAGCTAGAAGTTAGCAGTGTGGCTTTTAATTAGCAGTTAATTGTTATTATTATTAATTTTAGACGTAATTAATATAAATCTCTCACTCTCTTGATCAGCTGGTTGTAGGCATTTCTAAATGGCCAATCAGATTGTCAGAGTCTCTTCCAGCCAATCAAGCGGCTACTGTCAAACTTTACATCCCTTCTCCTCTGACACACATAACCCACCTCCACCCCGATCTCCTTATAGGGGTCTAAAACGTCAAAAAAGACTATAACATTTACATCACTTGCTGTGGGCTTATCAATAAATGTTGATTCGAAGTGACTCCTGATTGAAATACTTGTCACTGATGTACTTTGAAGGATTTTAAAATATTGCAGGCTACTCATGTAGAGAAATGCCACTTTTCAAAAAAATGATTGTGGTTTCTTACAAGATTATTTTCCCTATGAGTGCCTGTATGTTATAATGTCAGGGTTACAGCACTAGCAAGCCAGATTTGTTTGTTTAAAAGCTGTGTAATACAAAGCCACATTTACTTGCCACTATGAATGTTCTTCAATTCACTACATTACAAATAAAAAGTTAAATTTTTATATTTATATTCCCTATCAGAACCTCTGCTTTTTGACTCATTTATGGAAAAAGAGTATTTTCAGTTGTGAATTCACATTTGGTGTAATAGACCTTTTCATCATTCTAAGCAAATGTTTCAAAGCATTTTCTTTGACATTCAGTCCGAAAGTCATCCATCTAAAGTGACCCTGTAGCCATTCTGTACTGCTGGCTGCTAGCACTTAAGCTCTCATTCAATCTCTCAAAAGGTTCAAAGCATGAGCTACAACACTTACGAATGCCAAAGCATATCCCACAAAAGACAGAGAGTGTCCAAACTGACATGTTTTTTTATGCTCTGCGTTTATTTTGCTCATGTCAGTCAGCAGTGGACTAAGGGATGAAATGTGTTTGAGCACATCCCTGCAGGACTACGTTTTGTGCTGGGGAGAAAATACAGAAGTCTGGCCGACGCTGAGACATTAACACAGCACTGGGGCTAAGTGGGTTGGATCTGTCAATAATGAAGCCCAGACATATAAAAAAGGACAAATGATGGAAACCCTCCAAATGATGACTGATGAATTCTGGGTGAAAGGCAAGTTGAGCCAGATGGGCTTAAGTGATAGACACACACACACACACAAACCTCAAGCATATTCTCTCCAGCACAGACAGACTGACATATCTATTCATACAGTAAATCAGACAGATTCTTACTGCACACACCCACAAAGACTCTCACCAATACGCACCACAGATACATGAAGATTGACGCATATTTAAACACAGACTGCAAAGCAAACACACATTTATAACTTACCATAGGCCATCAATTCATTTTAATGTGACGGAAAACACATGGAAAGCGCTTGATTTTGTTAATCAATAAACAAATCCCTCTGACCACTGATGTTCTCAATCACAAATCCACTGATGTCACATTAAAGCAAATTTTAATTATAGATCCTGCCATTCGCCGAGATGGGACGTAGACGAGACCTTGATGGGGTAACCGTTTTAACCAAAGTCTCTACAGTCATTTAAAAGTTGGAGTGAATGGAGCTCTGTTACCACAGACACACACAGGACTGTTCTTACCCATGCAGTTGTGTCCATCATGGGCCAGCATGAATCCATCGTAGCAGGTGCACCTGTAGTTCCCCGGTATGTTGATGCATTCGTGGACACAGCCCCCGTTGTAATCGTTCTCACACTCATCCATGTCTGAAAGAAAATGATGGCTGTGTTACTGGGAGAGAAATAAGTATTCAGTTGACATGAGGCTGCAGATCCATCCATCACTGCAAACATAAAATTGCCACCGGTTCGGTCAAAGTTTCTTGGTGCATAATGTTAAGAAGTCCTTCCTGTCAATCAATGGACATTACTTAAATAAGGTTTAAAGCTGATGTTTTATACAGTGATGCAGAATCATCAAGCATGTTAACAATAATGTCTAAGAACTCTAAATACAATTTTAAAGAGCAAAGGACTGATTTCACAATGAATTTTAAAAATACTGTTTTAAAGGGAGAGGATGAGGTGTTCTCATCACTGAGTCTCCCATTACCTTTTAAGTAGCCAACTCTCTAAACAATCACACGGCCCCTGGTGGCACAATTTGAACACTCTTCAAACATTTAAGGTAGCAGACATTAGTCATGTCTGGGTATAAGGTCAGAGGTTCTGATCAGTGGCAGGTGACAGTACTATAACTGTATCAGGAGTTGAAGAGAGAATGATGTTAATGAAGATGATTCCACTTTTGGGGGGGGGGAGAAAGGGTGAGGAGGGGGCAGGAGGATGAGCGAGGATATGAGTGTCAGCTGGTGTGTACTCATGTATGGATGCTGCCCCCCCACCCCAACAGCCCCCTCCATGCGGAGACTTTCACTGGAGCCGCTCACAAGTGGTTGCCATGCAGAGCCACTTAAACAAACAGTCCACCCCCTCCGTGTGAACAGCAGGAGATCTGCCAGGCAGTGAGGAGGACTGTGGCCCACATCCTTCTCCTCCCTCTGTACTGAGGATGACACGGTGCAGGTATTTGCCCTCTGGGCTTCTGGAGCTATAAATGGACCATCATATTCTCTGTATCTTCTCAAACCAAATAGAGTGCGAGTTGGATTATTGCGCTCCGTTGCATATACTGTTCCAAGAGCTTATATTTTCTTTTGAAGCACAATAGGTCTACCAATATATCAAGAAGTTTTAGACTTAAAAAAACAATTGTTATTGTTTTACAAGGTAAAATCCCTATGTAACCACACACTGTTATTCTGAGACATTTAAATGGACTGCATTCATATAGAGCTCTTGTGGTATTTAAGAACACTCAAGGTGTCATAAGTCTAATTCCCCCATTGACACACATTCAAGCAACACTAGACACTACTATACACAGTACTTTTTCTATCCCTCATTATTCACTCCGACGGAACACCTATCAGGGGCATTTATGGTTCGGTGTCTTGCCCAAGGACACTACGGCATGCAGACTGGAGGAGCAGGGGATAAAAACGGAGACCTTCTGGAATGACCTGCTCTACCTCCTGGGCTAAAAAAAACTGAGTGTAAACTGTATGTGACAATTGACATGTTTCAAGAATTTACTTCTAGAGCCAGACTAATTGATCGGCTGATTTTATTGGCCGATATTACCCAGTCACAGCTATTTTGGTGTTGGTATATTTGTTAAGTGGTTTGCACCGATATGAAAGCATTTTCACAGAACAATAAGCAGATGTTCAGGTTAACTTTGAAAGGGCATAAAATAATAAAAATAATAATAATGCATTCATATCAACATTATTAGTTCACATTTTAAACTGTTCATCACAAACATTTAAAGACACCTGACTCACAATGCATTTCATTTGTTTTCCTACAGTAAAATTTGCACTCACAGCAACTACAGCTGATTAATTTGAGGTTATATGACGGAAAATTCAACACTAACATAAAACACAGGACATGTTTTCCTTTTTTAATACTTTAGTACTCGTAATTAATTGTCTTTTCTTTTATCATGGGTCTAACATATGAATCCAGATGTCAAGATTATCACTCATCCAGGTCATGGTAGTGTACATCGGCAACTGGACTTTCTTGTGTTTCACGAAGAAATTTCACTTCTCATTCAAGCTTCTTCGGTTCGAACTGACTGACGGGATATTTAAGGTATTGGAGGCAGAGGCAGGAAGTAAAATAATAACTCCCCTGCAGAGATCACATGATTTTCTTTATAACACACAGACAGCTCTTATAACCACAAACTCTTTGTCTCTGTCTTCCGTGTAGTTTTCGAAATACCCAGTTGCCATCGGGGAGGACGGGCCACCGCTGCAAAATAAATGAAACGAAAACCCTGCCCACCTAATATTAGACATAGTAGGCTTTTAAAAGACACCCCCAAGATATTTCACACCCAGCTTCTAAGTGTATGACGCCTAATCACCAGGGCGATATTTGTTTTCTTTTTGTTGTTTTTTTCCATTGTTGTGTCTGTTGCGTGTTACAATTGTCATCACTTCCCACTTGTTAGCGATGAATCCAGTGGGGATCCCCTGCTGTGCAATCACATGAAATTCTCCTGAATTTCCATGGACTTTATAATGAAAGGTGAAGAAAGTCTGCATCTAATCCGAAGCCTCTCACTCGGACATATGCGTTCACACATGCACCTCCTCCGGAGAATATACAGAGGATCTGCGGGGTTCAGTGCATGTCTGAAAGCTGCTTCAAATAAACAGGCAGGTTGATGTAGCAATAGCAGGGTCGGTCTACAACTCACAGGTATCAACAGCCATTCACACCTTGACTCCAGAGTTTCTTTGTTTGGATTCCAAAATTTCTCAGGAAGTTTTCAAAACTATCAGTGACCGTCGTCGCAGGATGTGAATGATGGGTGGAGGCTGATGGCTCCAAGCAGGAATGAGAAGCTGGCACACAGCAGTAGTGAGCGACACACACACACAAACATGGCTCTCAGCCTCCACATCCTGCAAAAGGACATAACCCAGACATGGACACTGAGAATATATACACACCCCAGAAACAAAAATTAGTGGTTTGTGTTCACAGATACAGAAAACAGCAAATGTTCATAATGACTCACATACCATAACTGCAAACATAAGGATTTAAAATGAATGCATAAACACACACATTTGTTACCATGCTTTTTATCCATAAAACACTTCCTCTGAGATAATTAACATGGTGATTTTGGCTTGAATGTGATCTCTTTGAAGAATCCGAGACATTAACCTCAAAGATCCTCATCAAAGACGTTTTGTGTAGTTCGAAACATTGTGACAAAAGCCAAATCAGTGCCACATTCTGCACCATGAAGAGACACAGACATGTTTACTGGAAGCCAATTACCCAGGCCAACACACATCAGTGCATCTTAATTATGTTTGTCTGATCTCTGACAAAGGAACGCTGTCTCTGTATTTGTAAGGCCACTGCAGCATGACCGGGATTAGATGAGAAGATAAATATATCATCCCATCGCAGTCGATACTCAAATATGAAATAGTAACCTGAGCATTTTTTTTAAAAACTGACCAAACAGTTTTGAATGCGCTGCATGTGTGTGACGACAGAGAACGTTTTGAAGGAATACAAAAAATGTCCTGGTGCTTTAAAGAGCGTGAACCTTGTGTATATAAACTCGTCACAGCCATCAGTGGTTCATCCCAAGAGGCCATTTGCAACCAATTAGGGTGAGCTGGAAAGACTGTTTGGGGAAAGGTTGTTTGGACACTTTGCTGTGCTGCCAGCTCAGATGGCGCGGTTCAGCACAATGTGGCACCTCCTATGTGCTCTGCTTTTCATCTGTCAGAGATGAAGGGAGAAGGTACAGACGAGAAGAAAAGCAGAGGGGGGGGGGCTTCACTGAGGGTGAATGAAAAGCAGCAGGTGATTAATTGGTGCCTGAATTGCTTCAAACAGGAAGAATGAGTCTACATTCACATCTAAACACATTTCTTCCCCCTGTTTTGTCCCTCCTTTCCTTCTCAGCTGTTTTTAAATGGTCGTATTTTTTCAGCGTCTTGCCTTTGTTTGATGGCTGTAGCAGAGATACAGGCAGGGAATGGGGTTGAGAGAGGGGATACAGGCCAACAGGGCACCCTGGAGCTTGTGTTTTTTGCAACATCAAGACATTAACATCTTGCTTTGGAGGAGAGAACTAGCTGTACTGGAGCATTGTTGGATCTCAGCGCAGCATTTGACATGGTCGATCACAACATAATACTTTACAGACTGGAAAAGTGGGAGGGACTTACTGGCACTGTGCTAAATTGGTTCAAATGTTACTTACAGGATTGGGACTACTTTGTCTCAATTGATTCTTGGCGAACAAAGATTATATGTGGAGTTCGTCAAGGGTCCATTCTCAGGCCTGTTTTATTTAATATCTACATGCTCCCTCTGGCTCAGATTATGCAATATCATGACCTCTCTTGCCAACCTAATGCTGGTGATGACAACTCTATATCGGAGTGTCGTAAATCCAGAAAAGACTGAAGTTGTGAAAATTGTTTTTGGTCCCAAAGATGAAAAGGTTATAGTTCAGTGCTCACCCCAACTCCATGACACAGAAAACTACGGTTTGTATTCTTTGTGTTCATATATTTTAAAGAAAGGAGTGTATGTTGAAATACATGGGATTAATTGCTTTGTTTTTGATTTTACCATTCAGCCTCATTGATGAGAGGTGAATTCAAAACTAAGGGTTCAAATTTGTCTGTATTTGTCGATGGTGGTTAACTTCTACACTGCCATCATTGAGTCCATCTTCACTCCCTGATGAGAGGGTGATTGTCTGCAATCTGCCCCCTCTCCAGGACATGTGAATCTCCAGGACTCTGAGGGGTGCAGGTAAGATTGTGGCCACCCCCTGCCATCCTGGACATGGACTCTTAGAGCCACTTCCCTCATGGTGCTCATAGTATTTTACATATTTTTAAATTCATTTTAATTTTTCTATTTGTACCAAACCACAGCAATTTCATTGTATTTATAAACCTGCTTGGCAATAAAACCTGATTCTGTATATGTATATATTTATACACATATGTATATATATATGTATTAATATATATATATATATCAAAAGCCAAGTATTTTGAATTGTCCAATTAAAAGCCTATGACAAATAGTTTGGTATTATATGCAGTATACTTGGTATTGTAGCTTCTACTCTATTCATGGGT